CCAGGGGGCGTGGTTGGATCTAGATCCAACTCCTCCTACCTTACATATTCCTAAACCTACCCGTCTCCACCCCCTGATCCCTAAACCCCCCCATCTCCACCCCTTAACTTACCAATCTCCACCCCTAGATGTGGATCCAACCACGCCCCCTGGATCTTGTGTTCTGCAGTGAGGACCATCTCGAAACGTTTGGCAGGTAGGTGAGGAGGAGCCAATCACATCGCAGGGGGCGGGGCCGAAGCTTATAATATGTGACCCTGGACCACAAAACCAGTCTTGAGTATCAATTGTTGATCATCATCTTAAAGTTGAATAAATAAGATTTCCATTGATGTATTGTTTGTTAGGATAGGACAATATTTGGCCGAGATACATCTATTTAAAAATCTGGAATCTGAGGGTGCAAAAAAATCAAAATATTGAGAAAATCGCCTTTAAAGTTGTCCGAATGAAGTTCTTAGCAATGCATATTACTAATCAAAAATTAAGTTTTAATATATTTACAGTAGGAAATTTACTAAATATCTTCATGGATCCTAATGATTTTTGGCATAAAAGAAAAATCAATAATTTTGACCCATACAATGTTTTTTTGGCTATTGCTAAAAATATACCCCAGTGACTCAAGACTGGTTTTGTGGTCCAGGGTCACATATATTCTTTTCAGTACCCACACTTTACAGTGTACAGTTATGAAAAATGTTACTGCACAATAGCCAAATGAAATATTTTTTCTGTTACAGAACCTAAATCTGCTATTTTCTTTATTATGCTTAAAGTTTTGTTTTTTTTACTCCAACCATTAAAACAGATTTATCAGATAAAATGCAAGTTAAAAAATATTAAGGGAATCTAAAACTAGTTTGTCCAACACACCAGTCATTTAAGGAGGTTATAGGCCTCTGCTCATGACTCTGTTATCACATGTAACACATCCACGGAGTTTGATTTTCCCAGACCTGTGGACCCTTTTCACATTTCCGGGTTTCTCAGAAGCAGAAGTTGTCATAGTTGGGTAATCATCTATAGTGGTAAATGAGGAAAAAAGAGGAAAAGATAGTGAGAGATTGATAATGGCAGTCAGAAGAGAGAACGAGATCAAATTTACCATCACTCCCACAGCTGCTGTTTTAGAAACACTCTCAGAGCAGCATTAAATATTTTGTAATCTGCAATGGTACTATAATGCAATGTATGGTGTTATAAATGTACTGTACATACATTTTTTCATATATATTTTGTAGGATTTATACGTTGCCAATGACCGGTCCATTTATAATTATGGTCGGTGCAAAATGCTGATAATTAGTGAAGTAAAATATTGAACAACCAGCTCTCTGTAGATGTTATTTCTCTTATTGTGGTTTAGCTTTAGGCTTTGTTGTGCCTGATATACCGAATAGACTCCATAAAGTCCCTAATGCACATCCCTTTTTCTCATCAACAGATGCAATTAATTTGCCCTTACCTCTGAGATCAGGAAATGTAGTCAAGAGACCTGGAATCTCCCCCGGTGTCCGAGTTTGCTCAGCTGAGTTTGAGCTTAATAAGGCTTGAAGGAAGTCCTTCAGTTTCAGAATAATAGGTTACCCCAAAAATAAATTACTCAGAGACTTTTCCTTAAAGTTTTAACGCATCACCATCTGTAATGGTTTCGCTTTATTAGTACACAGTAACTCATAAGTAATAAAATGAAAGTAACAGCGAGTAAGTCTTCACCATCGAAGTGCGGCCCTGTCTGAAGCTCTCCTTGGCATTTTATAGCCTTGCAGACAATTTGCATTAACATCATCAAAGCCATCCCTGCATTCTTTCCTGATTTGGTCATTTCTTTGCGTACATAGACATGATACATAACCTTTATCACACTCAGCACAGAGTATCAAAAGTTCAAATAGAAGAATTGCAGGGGTTCTACGTATAACAAAGATATTCATCTCTCAAGTCACACTCATATAAAAATATAATAAAATTAGTACTGTTAGTTCGAGATTCCATCTCACAATTCTACTGTAAGATGCAGCCCCTTTCTTTTCATCATCTCAGAAAACAAAACATATAGCAACCTAAACCACCAGCCTTCAACTTTTATACATTTGGGGAACAAAATGTGTGATCAAACATGCATCTGAAACCTCTATATTAAGTTTCAATATTTCTAAGTCACTGGTTAATGCTTGCAACTCATGATTAAACTTATTATATTCAACCATTTCTCTTAACAGTTTCATTATTTTCTTATTCAAAGTTTCTTATTCATCAACTTTATTATAGTTCTCATCTTAAAATCCATATTCTGTTGATATTCCAGGTCTCTTCTTTGTCCGGCGGCGCCGCTCCACTTTCGCTTGCTTTTTCGACTTTCTTCCACCTGCAATCCTTCAATGATGAGATCACCAAAATCAATATTTATTTTACTTGATTCTTGATCGCTACTCCCTAAAGAAATGATATCCCGATTTTGTGTATAATTGTTTCCAGTAGGGATTTGATCAGGAAATTGCATATTCCTAGGCCTACATCTACTTACAGCTTAAAAGGTTCCGTTTGGCTGACCATTTAATCATCTAAAATCTCTTTTTTTTTCTAAAAGTGTTTTTCTGTTTTTTCTCACAATTGCTTCTTTGTGGTTTATTTAAATGGAATAAATTAGTCAAACCGCGGCTCCAGTTTGAATCTTTGCTGAAAGTTTAGGGGCCTCATTTTGTTAATAATTAAAATGTCCTTTACCCTGTTACTGACACTAGAGGTTTAAGCGGAGAGTCTTTCTGATGACGATTAGACACGATTATCTGGTCACCATTAAACATTCACATGCAATGTTTAATTCATCCACCAGTAGGTTTAACCCACAATGACCCAGAAAGTCTTGTCATTCTCTCTTTATTAGTACTGCCATCAGATTCCAATCAGATTTAACTCACACCTCAGCAGACTGCACATTTTTAATCAATATTTAATCTTCTAAAGCAGAGTGTTAGTCACATTCACTGCAGATCTTGATCATTTTAGGAATACCCCTGAAAATCCTTCCGAATATTACTGAAGGGCCAGCATGTCTGAATTTTATTTATTTAGTCATTTATCAGACGCTTTTATCCAAAGCGACTTACAAATGAGGACAACAGAAGCAATCAATTGTAGTATTAAAACAACTAAAAATAGATCCAAAACTAAAAGCTAAAAATTCATAAATACTACCTATACACATTTTAAAAATAAAAATTACAAATGCATACAACAAAATTTAAAAACTTAACATTTAAATGAAAAACAAAAAATAAAGCTAAAAACGATTCAAAATATTAAAGAACAAAGGGTATAAAGTATAATAATGATTCTAACATAACACTAAGCCAAACACCAAAAAAACAACTACATACTGTATGTACAACCACACACATACATATACAGTGGGTACGGAAAGTATTCAGACCCCCTTAAATTTTTCACTCTTTGTTATATTGCAGCCATTTGCTAAAATAATAAATTCAGACATAATTTAACTAAAATTAAAATAAACAAATACAAATAATACAAATCAAATGACAATAGTTTATCAGTAATCCTGAAAAATAACACTGAGCCAAACACACATGCTAAAAAACAACAACTTACTTACACATAGTAAGAAATGGTTATAAAAACTGAAACAGAAGCGAAACAAGTAATAGGAAAGAGGAGAAATAAAAAGCGATACTTACGTATCCTTTGCCGGTGTCCCTGCAGTCTTTACACTCTTTGGTCTTCACACGAGGAGGCATTCACGCGACGGCTGCCGCGGTAAACTAATTTTTATACCCGTCTAACAAAATACTAAATTCATTCAGGTGGACACACTTTCCTTATTTTCTCCACAACAAATGGCCAAGCAAGCGCAGACACTGACAAGATACGCGATACAGAACGAGACCAAACGCGATATCAGCACGTCTCCACACAGTAAACAAAACAAGCCATTATTGTATATTATTGTTAATTATTATTATTGTGAATTATAAGTATTTGAACAACTTTTGATACTTTTTGAAACTTAAACTTGATTTACCACATTTTTCTTAAACATCTGCTACTGTAAGTGTTGATGTCATATTGTAGGCTACAAATCAGTGGCTGTGTCCGAAATCGCCCCCATACCCTTAAATAGGGCACTATTTGAGGGAACAGCCATTTTTAGTGGTGTCCGAAACCATAGTGGACGTTCTCGAGTGCACTCATTCAATCCCACAATGCACTGCAAAAACGAATGTACAACTGGTGCACGCTCAACAAGAGGCTGCTCGCTGCAGAGCAAATGGGTGGAGCTTACGTGTAGCTCCCCCTCGCTAGACCTCCAGCGGGGAGGAGCGAATGTAATTTGTGCCTAACAGGTGGAGCTAGAATAGCCAACCACACCCTAACCCTACCCACAACTCTATCCCTCCACCCCATTAGACATCCAGAGAGATGGAGCTGGAAATCATTTGACTCTGCAGTCCCCTTGTCCAAATACCCACACTTGCGGTCTTGGCCACTTGAGAGCGCGTGCGCGCGACAGGAAGTAAGTGCGCAAGACTGTCCCAGGTCTTAAAAACGCCAGAGCGCAGTGCCCTTAAAGCACACTAAACCCACACTATCTCGAATACCGCTCCAGAGCGCTATTCGAGGCTTAGTGTATCCCATCATGCATCCTGTTCTGGAAATAAATCGTGAGACTTTTTGTCGAGATCTCGCGAGAGGTCACGGAAACCTTTCCAATGCAAGTTAAATATTAATATAATAATTAGATATTACATATAATTTGGTAGGAAAACAGTGTTTAATAAACAGCAAGCACAAACTACTATTCCTTCCGGTGCACTCAGTGTCCGAATTCACTACTCGTTTCCATTCACTCCTTCTAGTGAACTGAAGTAGTGACCTAATGTAGAGAATAGTGAATGAGGGTATAAGGGGGCGATTTCGGACACAGCCCGCGTAGAAATCCACAGCTTATCCTCCGCTTCGCTCTGTCAACTCAGACCTGTTTGTACCTCACTACTCGCCGTAGGTAACCAGGAAGTAGCGCCGTAACCAAGTGGATCGCTTCTCTTATGGTGTTTTGTTTAAGCGTCCGCTGTCGTTAACTGCTTTCTTCTTAACTACAGTTTTTGTTTTCATATTAATCATTTGAATCAGGACAGCACCAGAAGCTAAACGCTTCAGTGCGGTAAATTCAAAAGCTTTCAGCGGAAATTCTCAAACAAGCAGAGCCTATTTTACGTCTTTTGCAGTGCCAGCGATTACAGTAAGCTTCAAACGCAGCATTAGAGCATGTCATCTCATCTGCAGTAATCATATTTTATAATCACAGCATTTTGTGAATCAAACCCGACTGCTTCAATGATTGCAGGTCAAGGTCTATCATAAAGGTCCGGTTAGAAATCAAGCTTCAGAACTAAACTCTTCGACTGTCACTCCATGGCTTTACCGACGCTTTCAGCGCATTGGCCGGGTCGTGTGCGGGCTCTGGAGAGGCAGCTGGTGCGGCAGCGGGAGCAGGAGGCTCGCTGGAGGCAGCAGTGGGAGCTGCATTCTCAGTACTTCAGAGAGCAGGAGGTCCGCAGCAGCAAACAGGCGCAATGGAGCTCACGGCAGTCCTTCCAGCGCAGGTACTGATGGTGAATCTGTCTGGCTCCGGTGATGAATTTGTTTCATTATTCCCTCTATTTGTTTGAGCTTATGCATGGCCTGTTCTGGGATCAGTCTATGTGATAATTTTGCCGCCAAGTTTTCAAATCATCAAGACATTAAGATTAAGACAAACATTTCAGAACAGCAGAAAACACGTATTAAAGTCATTCATAAAGTTAATAAATGTGACATGTTGGAATGTGAATTATTTGGTACTTTTCACTCTATTAAGACTCCTTCTGAGAAGTAAAATCTTTGGAACACTTATTACAGTAAGTTATTAATGTAAATATATGGATCAATCAGAAGACAATGTGATTTAATGGACAGGTTTAATTGTGAAACTGCATTTTGGAATCAATTTGTTTACGATTTTATTATTATTACTTTAATATGAATATTACTATGATTGGCTGATTTCACTAATACAGTGGATAAAACTATCAGAAAAAATCCATATATATGAACTGGCTTTTGCATCCAATTATGAAGACAATGTATTAGTGCTGGGCGGTATGACCAAAAATGTATATCACGGTATTTTTCAAAATTATACCGGTTTCACGGTACATGACGGTATTTTTTTTCATGCATGACCGGGTGTTAACCATATTTTCTACTGATTGAGAGAGGAAATACTGGTATCTATAACAAAGTTACAAAACTTATTTTCTTGGCCTTTTAGTATGTCAGCATTTCAGCGGGAGCGAATGGAGGAGGAGAAGCGGCGGAAACTGGAGGAACGCAGGGAGCGTCTGAGGTTAATGCTCCAGGAAGAGAGAGACCAGTTGGAGGCCGAGCTCAGAAATGTTCGCCCAGACAGAGCCACACTGACCAGACAGCTAGAGGGAAAAACAGATGCCCTCCGGTCTGCCAGAGAAGAGAGGAGGAAAAATGTACAGTATGAACTCTTGTCTTAAAATGATGTTATGTTATACCAGGGGTAGGCAAGTTCGGTCCTAGAGAGCCGCAGTCCTGCAGAGTTCAGCTCCAACCCTGAAAAAAAAACTCACCTGCCTATAGCCTTAGTAATCCTGAAGACATTGATTAGCTTGTTCAGGTGTGTCTGATTAGGGTTGGAGCTGAACTCTACAGGACTGCGGCTCTCTAGGACCGAACTCGCCTACCCCTGTGTTATACAGTTGAAAGTGTCTGATTTTTTATAAAAAAAAATTTTTTTAGCTTGCACAGGAGCTGCTGAGGGAACACTGGAAGCAGAACAACCCAGGACTGCGGAAGGTCAGTCATATATCAAATAAAATATATCATATAGGAATCTTTTTAAATTACATTTTAAAATATATTAAAATAGAAAACTGTTATTTTAAATTGTAATAATATTTCGCAATATTATTGTTTTTATTGTATTTTTGATCAATTAAATGCAGCCTTGATGAGTTTAAGAGACTTATTTCAGAGCTTCACATTTCTGCTTTTAAATCCCTCAGATTACATATTTTGCCTATATACCTCAAATAAAATTGCCTTACTGTTACTAAAAAAAAATGAGAGATGAGTCAGAATTTCTGTGGTAATCGACAGAATTCCTGCTACGAAAAAAACTTTCTTTTAAGAAGAACCAGACATGACTGTAAGTTAATAGTGCGTGGGATGCGTTTCTTCCATGACTGATCTGTAACTCTAAGCTGGGGATTTGGTTCCACACACGCAACCACTTCTGGAGCATTTTTTAATCAGACATCTCAGTGTCTCAAATGTTTGTGCGTACAGGTGGAGTCAGAGTTGCACAAAGATCATGTTGTGAGCCAGTGGGAGGTTCAACATCAGGAGAAAAGACAGGTGAGATGTTCACAGGAGGTGTTAAATGCCAGTGCTGCCATGTTGGCTCATGCATACCAGTTGAGCATCATGTAACATTAACATCTTGAATTTTTGTGTACAAATAATAGTAGTTGAGTCCTTGGAGAAGGACATTTCATTTTTTTAAGAAATTGACTTTTTTTGTTTGTTTAATATGGCCAGTGTTCTGTAATGTTATCGCATTGAAATGTAACTCTGTTCTGTATCATTCAGGCTGATGAGAGAACTCAGGAGGAGAAACGGCATTTTGAGAATGAGTATGAGAGGACAAGACGTGAGGCTCTGGAAAGAATGAAAGAAGAAGAGGAGAAGAGAAAACAAGAGGAAAAAAATCGAGCTGAAGATCTCCGTAAACAGATGGAGGAGCTCAAACTACGGGAACAGGAAGTATGGAATTACTGTAAAATAGATTATACTTGTAATGCATTGCTACAACAACAACCATGTGACAAATAACAAACACCATAAAGATCAAGTAAATTCAACTTTGTGTGTTTATTAATGTGTGTGTGTATATATATATATATATATATATATATATATATATATATATATATATTGCACAAATGTAAGGCTTTCATTCCATTTTGTTCTTGTTCCAGGCTGAGCGTCTTAAGCAGGAACAGGAGGCTCTAATGTCTCAACGCTGGGAGCTTGAGAAGCTAGAGGATGAGAGGAAGAGGATGGAAAATTAAAATTGTACTGACCATAAACCTTTGATGGTGTTTTGTTAGTGTGTATAAAATAAGGTAAAAAAATGCATGATAATACCCCTTTAAAGATGAATGGTTTACTTATTTTATTTTATTGAAATCATGACTTCTTTTATAGCCTCTGTGGACCTCTGTGTTTGAAAACAGTCATTATTTTTGCAATGGCAGAAAAATGACTCCCCTAATCTTTACGTTGGATTTTAAATTATACACTACAGTTATGTAATGATAATATAATTCATACTATGTACATTTTTAAGAAATGTTAAATAGCTGACAGTTAGATTGCGTTTAGATGCTATGATATATTTTTAATCAATGTTTGGTAGGTCTTGACAGGACGTCAACAGCAGTTGGAGGAACGAATGAAGGAGAACAGGCTGGCAAGGGAGGAGTCTCTGCAGAGGAGAGAAGAGCTCATCCAGCAGCTGGAACAAGAGAGACTCACCCTACGCCAGGAGAGGGAGCAGCAGGAGGGAGCCCGCACAGCTCGCATGCAGGAGATCAATGCACAGGTCTGTATAGAGTTAACACTACGTACTAGATTTACTTGGGTTATAAAGTATAAATTCTGGATGTCTTCAACTGATGTATTTGTCCAACAGGTGGAGCACAGACGCAAGGAACAGTGGGAGGAGCAGCAACAACAAGAGCAAGAAGAATTACAAGAGAGGGAGGAGCGTAGACAGCAGGAGGAGGAACTTCGTTTTGAGACCGAGAGAATGATTGGACAGGGCTACAAGGAGAGAGTGAGTGAAGATTAAAGTGTAAATGAAATTATATGAAATTAGACCTTAAGCGCCGTGTAATATAATAATAACTGATCTATTTTTCACCATGGCAGATACACAGCAGACCCCGGTCAGCATGGACGTGAGAGCACTTCACAGGAAGAGTCTTTGTGCCACATCCCCTATCAGATGCATTGTTTTTCATTAAGAATTGGGGATATCCATGTCCATGTTGATCTCGGCCACTTTGTGGTTAAATGATAACCAGGTTCCCCCTCAGAGATGCTTTTAATATACGTTTATGATTTACATTATGGTTTCCATAAATGATTATATAGGTACGTTTTAAACCTCAAATTTCCATTGCACTAGTGCTGAGGTTTGCATGTTCAGTAGGTCTGTTTTTATATGTAGATTGTTTTGTATAGATTTCAATGCTGATAAGGGTTTCAATAAAGAAAACGTTATCCATTGTCTCCTGCATTCATATATAATTAAAAATTTTAACTGGACAGCAATGTGTGCAAAAAGTAATGCTATAAATATGTAAAAAACTATTTAAATAAAATTAACACCCAGTCAAAACTGCAAGAAAGAGATTTGGTGAGTGGGTTGCTTATATTATAATTAACACTTATTGTAATACGTTTTTAAAATTCAATTATTACATTTGTGTTCTTGACGGACACTTTGTTTTTTTTTACAGTTATAGTGCATATCAGTTTTAAGATTAAAAATGCAAGTAAGACTGCTAATTAAATCATGGAATACCCAAAAATGAAAATTTGCTGAAAATGTACTGACCCTCAGGCCATTTAAGATGTAGGTAAGTTTGTTTCTTCATTGGAACATTTGGGAATTTAGCATTACATCGCTTGCTCTGCAGTGAATGGGTGCCGTCAGAATGACAGTCCAAACAGCTGATAAAAACAATTCAATAATCCTCAGGTATTTTGGCTTGCACTTCTGTAACCAAACCTGAATTTCGTTTCCCATGTAGTGTGTTCCCACATATATTCCCACACCAGCTAAACACCCTCTGACTGAGGGTTGAGCGGGAAAGAGATCTTAGCAGACCTGCTCTAATGTTTTGATTGTTTACACTTTGGGGTGAGATAAACACATGCATGGCATACTTATAGTAGTCAATGAACAATAAACTGGGTTAAGAGAATGTATTTTGGCATACAACATGTTTTAAAATCACGAACAGAAAAAGAACAAGCAGAAGCTTTTGATAGTTGAAATCATTTGAGATGAGGTCTTGGTCTTTTATGTTTCACTTTATTCATATGACTCAGTTTCTGATATTAGCAAAAACCCTGGAGCATCAATTGAAGCTCAAAATTATAAATTAAGTTTATTTAGAAAATAAAGAACACATTTTCTTCTTAACCACAGGCATAGCAATAATATTAATGAGTGGAAGACCAGTTCATCTGAACAACTACAAACACTCAAAGGGAATTTTAACACTGAGCTGCAAGTCACACTGACTCCAAGCTCTAATAACACTGAGCTACCTGTCCACTGCACAACTGTTTGGTAAGACTAACCTGATCAGGTTAGAACATAATACTTAGAGAGGAAATAAAAAGATCTGCAAAGAGCTGCCCAAACACTGAACTGAATGTACCATAAGATGACCTATCTAAACACACACACACATCTAAACCATCATAAAAAGTATCTGCTGGTGGAGGTTGAGCATCTGCAGTGTATTGAAAAAAAAAAAGATGTCATTAAATACTGTACTGTGACCTCCAAATACCTGATGAAATATAATTAAACGAAGGTTAATTAACATTTCCTCACTTTATATATATATTTTTTTCTTTAATGCAGACTGTAAATCTGAATTACAGCCACCTGGTTTATCCAACTGAGAAAAAGGTATTTAACCTCGGGCATCTTTTTAAAATCATATTTAATATGACATCGTTATAATTACAAGTTTATTGTACCTGGATCTAAACTTGGCCTACCTGACCACAATAACTGAATGTTTTGTACAACAGATTATTTTATTATACATTATAGATTTAACTGAGATTACTGAAAAATAGGCTTGATTTAACCATTTAAAAACAACACAGACGGAATTATGGGAAAGTATCTTATACAGGGTACATTCCTCATCTTTATGTGCCAATCATGGATGGATCCAATGCAAAATACTCCACCGCACTCATTGGACTAAGGTCAGACTATCTAAAATTGACTCAGATGTTGATCCTATCTGTGACCGTTGTCGTCAGAGTCCCGCAACCTTGGCACATATGTTCTGGTTCTGCCCAAGTTTACATGGATATTGGGTTCAAATATTTGAGACAGTAACTCAGGTAGTTGGGATAATAATCAAACCTGTAGCGATAACAGCACTCTTCGGTACACTTCCCTTACCAGTTCATCACATAGGTTACAAGGCAGATTTTGTGGCCTTTGTAACACTTCTGGCTAGACGTTTGATTCTAATGCATTGGAAATCATCTACGTCGCCTACCCACTCAATGTGGATTAAAGAGATTTTTCACTTTATCAAACTGGAATTGATTAGACATTCACTGAAGGGCTCTTCAAAGAACTTTTATAAAATTTGGGGCTCTTTTCTTGAGTATATGGAAACGTATACCCCCCTGCTCAACTGAAAATAATGATTTTATTCAATTTCCCCCTAGTGGGTGACCACACTTGTATTAGGTAGTGTTTAATTTTCTCTTACTAACTGGCACAAGTGCAGAATGTGTTATTTATTTTTATTTTAGATTTATTTTTTTTTTATTTGGGTGGGGTGGGGGGTTGCTGAGGGTAATCTGTGTATTTTTTTTTTTTAGGGATAACTAATTGCGCTTTACTACTTGGGGATAATTGATTGTATCTGTTATTTTGATAGTTTCTTAGTCTCCTATTTCTTATTCGGATCCCTTTTCTTTATACCTAGTGTTAAAATGTTATTTAAACTGTGTTGTTGAAATATTGAAAAAAATTGTAATACTTGAAAATTTGTAAATAAAGTGAGGGGAAACAAAACACAATGGACCAAGACCAGCAGATGACATTGCACCCCAAATCATCACAGACTGTGGAAACTTAACACTGGACTTCAAGCAACTTGGGCTATGAGCTTCTCCACCCTTCCTCCAGATCTAGGACCTTGGTTTCCAAATGAAATACAAAACTTGCTCTCATCTGAAAAGAGGACTTTGGACCACTGGGCAACAGTCCAGTTCTTCTTCTCCTTAGCCCAGGTAAGACTCTGACATTGTCTGTGGTTCAGGAGTGGCTTAACAAGCGGAATACGACAACTGTAGCCAAATTCCTTGACACGTCTGTGTGTGGTGGCTCTTGATGCCTTGACCCCAGCCTCAGTCCATTCCTTGTGAAGTTCACTCAAATTCTTGAATCGATTTTGCTTGACAATCCTCATAAGGCTGCGAACATATACACGAACCCTTGAGAGCATTTCAGGCTTTATCTTATGGCTTTAAGCCAAACAACACTGATAACAGACACCTTAAATTAAAAATAAAAACATGCAAATACACAAAAAACTCATGTGACATACCCAATAATTATTGCTAAAATAACAAATGGGGGAAAGAGTTCAGGTTGAATTACAGGTGGAAATGGGTGGAAGCTGGATCAGTTGTTCTCTTTGGTGGTTATGGTAACAAGTTGCTTAGCAGCCTTGGCGATGTCATAAGCGCACTGGATGACCTGCTGGGTGACCAACTGCATGTCGGCTGCGGGGCTGCTCTCCAGAGGAGACGCTTTCTTACACTCACTCTGCAGCCGGTTTGCGCTGGACGTTAATAATCGTAAAGAGCTCTTCACCGTCTCAGAGCGTGGTCTCTGTGGACAAAGGTGAAAATACAGAAATAAATATACAGAAAATACATTAAGACTATTTTATAGTACTTCAAGACTACTACAAAAACTACACAAGAAAGTATTTGGACACTTAAGCCACACTTAAATGTATATAAATATTTTAGTGAATACTACTACTACAACTAATAATAATGTATATAAATAGTTTATAAATAATATTTGATCAAAAGTGTGATTTTTGTAATGGCTCTATAAACTAGTAAATAAATGTCCAGAAGGCCCGATGAAAGTATTTGGACACTTATATGTGACCCTGGAGAACAAAACCAGTCTTAAGTCGCTGGGGTATATTTGTAGCAATAGCCAAAAATACATTGTATGGGTCAAAATGATCGATTTTTCTTTTTTGCCAAAAATCATTAGGATATTAAGTAAAGATCATGTTCCATGAAAATATTTTGTAAATTTCCTACCATAAATATATCAAAACCTAATTTTTGATTAGTATTATGCATTGCTTAAAAACTCCATTCGGACAACTTTTTCAAATAATTGTATCTCAGCCAAATATTGTACTTATTTTTTCTTATTTATTCAGCTTTCAGATGATGTATGAATCTCGAATTTCGAAAAATTGACCCTTGTGATTGGTTTTGTGGTCCAGGGTCACTTATTTTAGTGAATTTTAGAATTGCAATAACATTAAAATAAACATAATATTTAAATAAATTGTATTATTATGTAAAAAAATATATGTAATTTATAAATAATATTTTATCACAAGTGTGACCTAAGTGTCCAAATACTTTTTGTGGCCAATACACATCCAAATAAAAATCTAAAAAACACCCTACAGATATTTTTCTTGCATTTATGAAGTGTGGAGAGACAGTGCACACCTTGGGGAACAGGGCAGCCATTTCACTCACAGCCACATATATTCTTTCTGCGCAGGGTATAAAGCTATTGGAGGAGAAAATGATAAGATACTGTATTAAAATCTCAAAATTAAAACCATCAGAGTTTGAAGAGTGAAAAGTCAAGCTAACCACAGAGCAATCAGAGGGTAAAGCTTTAAAGGCCCGTTCACACCAAAGATGATAACTGTAACGATAAAGGTATGGTTTTAAAATGTCAAATAATAGCAGTCTCTACTATAACAATAATGACACAGAGAAATGATATCGTTGGAATAACTTTCAAAAAGATTTTTTACAGCTGATGAATAGCAAAACCATCGACATCAGAATCCATCCTGCTTTAAAGAACTTGAGCATTTAAAGCGGCAGATGACAAAACTGCAGTGCAGAGTTATAATAAACATAGTGAGTTGATGTGGACGCTAATATAGCTATCATTATAGTTTTTGTTCTTGGTGTGATTGGGCCTTAAAGCTGGACATTTACACTATCATGGAAAATACAGTTTGTCCAAAATATTGTATTGTATACAGATACATACTGTTTTTTAAAAATACCTTTTGTTGAATAGTAGTGATTTTTATTCCACTCACATTACAGTTCACAGAAAAGTGAAAAATAGAAAATATATGGAATACATTTGGCTTAACTAAGTGTT